AAAAATTAAATTGTCTAAATTTTCAGTTATTTGATCAATCAAATACAAAAATATCACTGATGATTGAGGGTTTACTTATTGCTTATATTATCTCCAACTTAGTTCGATCGGTAGACTAACTTTCCAGACTAATTTCACTGAATCTGCGAAAATCATTTGATTTTTTTTAACAACCTCCACACCACCGTGCTTCACTAGGCCCCATACCAGCAGAACACTGTTACAGTTACTGTTACAGCAGAACTGTTACTTGGCATGCTAAAAATACAATTTGAAAGAGGGCTTAATTTCTTAAGTTCGTTTTGTCTCGATTATGAAGGGAGGCTAAACAAGGATAAGGGAGATTGTATAAATTTAGAAATATTTATTCTAATTAAATGGATCTCCCTTTGCTGGTTTCCCCTTTTACACTAGAATATGGAATGGTTTTTAAATTGCGTTTAAATTTTTAATTACGTCAAGAGGAAATCATCCCGAGACAAAATTTCCGTAAGATTGCAATTTAAGACCTAATAATATAAATAAAAACGAATAAAATATCCATCATTATTATCACAAAAAGTTTTAAGAGCTTGGTAGAATTGCATCGTTTGGACTCTTTGAGGGTGGGTGACCATTTATCGAGTGCTCTTTTTTAGTGAACCTTGCTCTCTCTCAAACGTCTTGCATAAGAAGGCCTTGTGGGCTTGTTCTTGTTGTACCCTGCAATAGTTTGGCTGATCAGGTAATTCGGTAGGATAAATGTTCCTCGATTTTTTTAATTATTGAAGTTTTATCATCTTGTACATTGGCAAACTGTTTAGCCAGACCAGAAATTGTTCAAAATGTAGTGTATTTCCTACGTAATGAATGATCTAAAATACATTTAAAATTAACTGTTAGTACTATTTTACATATCTCACTCTTTCTAGCCCTTCTTATCTCACTCTCTTTTCCTCTGTCTCACGCTCTCTCTATCTCTCTGACTCCCTCACCCTTTCACTCTATCTCTATCCTTTTATTTTCTCTCTCTCTCTGTCTCAATTATTCTCATTTTCTCTATTTCTCTATCCTACCCTTTCTGGCTCTCACCCTCTCATTTTTCTTTTTTCTCTCTTTCTCCCTCTCTCTCTTTCTCTCTCTATCTTTCACTATTTCTCCGTCACTCTTTCTCTCTCTCTCTCTCTCTCTCTCTCTCTCTCTCTCTCTCTCTCTCTTGCTTTCTGTCTCTCACACACATGCACATACACTTTATTCGTATTTTTATTCCACTTAGGGTAAAATATAATGATAAGGAACAATTTACAACTATTGATTAACTTATATAATTTAGTAAAAGAGGTGATCGTTCTTGACTAAGATTGAATGTTGTTCTTAATTTATTACACGATATATCTCAAAAGGTCTTGTTATATTTAATTAAAAGTTTCAAAGGATGAGTATAATTAATGTCGTCATTCCCTTTTCTTCTTGTTGTTAACGTAAATAAATTATTGACAATGAAAGCTCCTTGGAAATTATTTATTTATTTTCAGTAACTAGTTGCTTACGGCAATATACAAGGATTTTAGAAATTGCTGATGATTTATAATCCAATAGGAATTTGGTAACACGTTTTAAAAATGTTTATAATATCCTGATTTTTTTATATTTCTGTACTGCCGAAATGTTTTTATAAGGAACAACGTTACACAATAGCCACTTTATAATGGAAGTTCATTTAGTTATCAATTTGTTTCTTATTTCAAACCTTTTAGTCAATAATAAACTGCTTAAAAATGAATAGGTATAGTAACAATTTCGTAGTATTTCCTTTCCCTGATATTTTTATTTTATTTTTATTGTAAATTGCACTAAAATTTATTTGGAATTTTTACTGAAGGAAAATGTAATTAAGGGTGTATGAAAAATAACATAATAATAGGTTTTAATTATATAATTTTGTTTATTTTTTTAACTAATTAATACTGTGTGTAATGTCCTCTGTAAGCTAAAACCTCTGTGCATCTGGTAGGCGTAATTTTAATAACTTGTTGTTACTAATTTCACAAGTAAATTCAATTCATAGATGTTGCAACCCTGCACTCAGTTGTTGCAGGTCAACTCGCCGCGGATGGTGATCGAAAAACATTCTCTGCAACGCATCCCCCATGTGTTCAATGGGTTTGAGGGCTGAAGACAATGGGTGAAGGGGCAGATGGGAAATTCCTCGGTTTTCTAAACATTGATGTGCAACTATGCCTCTATCAGGCTTGGTAAATCGAAAAATCCCTGCCAATGAGAACCTTGGTGATTTGAAAGATGTATTCCTCGATATTTTCTTGGACATAACGAACTGCGGTTAGGTTGCCTTCAACAATACGGAGTCCAGTTCGTCCTCCAGTGTAAATCCCAGCCCAGACCATTACACCACCTTCTCCAAACTGCACTGAAGGCGTCTGCTATCACTAAACACGACTCATCATTAAACATAACAGCATTCCAATTGGTGTTCTCTTCTAGGCGTTCGCTGCACCATATTCTCTTAACTTCCTAGTGGCCTAGTATTTTTACAGGTCGTCTCAAAGGGGCATACGATGTGAGGCCAAATTCCCACAAACGTTTACGAATCGTTTGTGTTGATAAAGGCCTTGCCAAAACCTCATGTTCTTCATTTTGGATGTGGAGGTCACTATGGAAAGGGTTCCTTCCTGCAGCAATGCAGCAATATTTCTGTCCTCCTTTAGAGTCGTAATGCGTTTAGATCCGCTATCAGGCCTCCTATTGGCACTTCCAGTCTCTCGAAATCGGGCTAAATCCTCGGAGACCACGCTCTGAGGAGCGCCAACTGCCTCTGCGATATTCATTTGCCGGTGAACTCCGTGACTCAATCTCACAACAATATTGCGAACTTCTGTTTGTTTGTTTTATACTGCAGCCATTTGAACGTTTAGATCTGGTTACTGACTCTCTAATTTCAAATATTATACGACGTTGATATTCTAGAATGCTAGTCTCTCATTTGTAACTTGTTATAAGCAACCCCTTTCTTTCACGCTAATAAATTACTTTTACTCTCTAGACGTCATACACTCACCCCAGAGTACTCGATATTCCTCGGAGCGGGGTTATAAGCGACCCCTTCCTTTTACGCTAATAAATTACATTCATTACAATAAATTAACACAAACACAACACTCGATAGAAACATAGAAGTCTGGTCACATTCACTCCCCCAAAGTACTCGATATTCCTAGGGGCGAGTTTGAACCCTCTCCACTCACGCTAATAACTTACTTTTTCTCTCCAGACGTCACACACTGAACCCAGAGTACTCGATATTCCTCGGGGCTGGCTTAAATCACCCCTTCATGCTAATAAATTACATTCATTCCAATAAATTAACATAAAGTCAACACAGACATAACACAAACACACATAAAAAACTATATACATTTAAAAATCCTATAGCCCTGAGGTACCGGAACCGCGATCTGTGCCAAAATATTGACTATATACATCAGGCCTTCCACAATTGAAAAGGTGCTCGACCGTTATTCTATCCTTGCATAACGGGAACCTACGCGGTCGCTTTCCAACAAGAAGGTGCACGTGCTTTATTCTTGTATGACCTATGCTTAGTCTTGTATACGATAAAAATAAAATAACTATCAAGTCATTTAGAGAGTTAATATCACAAAGAATACATGTGTTCGAAATGGTTTAACATAAATGCACTAATTATCATCATCTATTTCCAACACAAAATCCAGTAGGCATACAACTCTGTTATTAAGAATTGGCTATTTATGAAATTTTAGTCGCTTAGTCAGTGCGAGAAGAACTTATATTTGATTTTAAAAAATGAGCTGCTTTATTTTCATAATATTAAATTTTAAAGCGAAAATTCTCAAAATGATTTATAAAAATGGTTATATTTCAACACCAATTTGTTCATTAAATAATTCATTCGTGTCGCAACATACATTAGTACATATTAATGCATTTTTATAGTAAATTAAGCTAATCTCAAAAATTAAAACATATCTGGCAAATTATTTTACCACGTCTTATTATTAAAGAGTTTACCACGCCTAAACAGCTGTTTATGTGAATTTCTGTTTCACGTGGTCAACAAATATGGAAGATAACACTGCAACTAAAGTGTTTGCCAATTAATATAACCTTCTTAATCTAGTTAATTCGCGTTGACATTCCTTCACAAATAAAAGTTTAATTAAAGAGATTTTTTCTTTGTAATTATTCTTGGTTTTTTTAATCTGCCTATTAAAAACGTATTTTACTATATTGCAGATTTAAGAATGAAAGGCAAAGAATCATACTCATTTATTTATGCTTTGACATCATATTAATAATACTAAAACAATTTGTTACTTCATAGTTATTATTATTGTGTGGTGTTTAGTGACCATTAGTCAATGATTATTAGGAGATCGTGAGATGCGATCGGGCGTGACGTAGGTTTTAGAAAAACATTTTCTTTATCGTGCCAACGTTTCGATCTTCATTGAGATCATCTTCAGAGCCTGGGATTTATAAACATTGTTTAAATGTTACAAATACAAGTAGGATGTGATAAAATGAATTTTTACAATTTTAGATTAAACAAATCTTAATTTATCGAAACGTTGGCACGATAAAGAAAATGTTTTTCTAAAACCTACGTCATACCAGAACGCATCTCACGATTCCCGAATTGTTATTATTATTCGTTAGAATATTAAAACTGATTAACGCATTTCTCACGAGAACTGCCGACAAAGCGTGCAGAACGAGATATTTTGGTATGAATAAACATTATAAATCACGGATAACAATAAGTACATTTGTTTTCCTGTTAGGATTTGCGCAACGACCACAAGGCTGGTTTTATCGCTTATTGTCTCTAATGGGGACACAGTTTTCTCTTTTTTCCTGCTCATTGACTTGGAGATTCCGAACTGAAATTAAATCCGTGCGTGGCTGGTGTTCGCTAAATGAACAACAGGCTGTAAACGGTTAATTAGTATCAATTAACCTACCTAGTACTTTAGTGTGGTAAGCAGCGCCTGCGTTGTTCACGAGGACGTGGCATGCTCCGAATTCTCTTTCTGCAGTTTTGATCATCTCGATCACCTCATCTTCGTTCGTCACGTCGGCGGCAAAAGGAAGGATTGTACCTTTTCCCGTTACCCCCGCAGCTAAATCCTATAAAAAAGACATATCATAAATAGGGAACTAGCAAATTTTCGGTTCATCGCTTTGTTGACCTCAAAAAGAAAATTCACTTTTTTTTAGGATTACAGTATGTTCTCTCGTTAGTATTGAGAGTAAGCAGTAGTTATAAATAGATTAATGAATACATTTAAATAGAATAAATAATTAAATAAATAAACATTGTTTAATAAATAATTTACACACAAATTAACTCATAAATCGCAGAATCGAAATGGCTATTCTCTATCTCAAGGAAGGGAATTAGGAGGCTGATAGGTATTCTGACGGGCCACTGCCCACTGAGAAGACACCAATTCGTAATGGGTATCCTACCAGATCCCTTTTGCCACTTCTGTGAAATAAAAGAAGAAACGGCAAGGCACTACCTCGCAGGGTGTGATAGGTATGCTAAGTACAANTATATATATATAACTCATAAATCAGAATTCTATCATGAGACGGTATAACTGGTCATCATTTTGCAAGAGTAGGGATTTGTAATTTATTGGTTTGACAATGCACTTCTTTGCGTGTAATCTGTCAAACCAAATCCTTCTCTCGTTCGAATATTTCTTGCAGTTCATAATAACGTGTTCTACATCTTCCTCAACTTGGCATGTTCCGCTAGTCTGTCTTTGTTTTATTTTATAAAGATACACCCCACAAATGCCATGACCGGATCTAAGTCGGCTTATCATAGAGCAGTCCTTTTTTGACCAGGTCAGTCCATGGAACCAAGGTGTCTTATTTAAATTTGGATTTATTGAGGTATAGAAACTCCCGTCGGTGTAGAATTAATTGTGCTGCCATTTCTTAATAATTTCCGCCTGGATACATCGTTTTGCTTCCTGAATGGGAATAGGAACTGTAAGACTCTTCCCCTCATACAAAGCTCGTTTTGCTAGTTTGTCTATCATAAAATTATCAAAGATTCCGGCGTGACCCCTAACCCAACACAATCTTATATTAGTGTTTTTATTATTTGTTAGTGCTAATATTTTGTTTGCCACCCAGTGTACTAAATAGTTTCCACCAAATTTTAAATTTAGATTTTTTATATTTTCCAAGGAACTCTTAGAATCAGACAGTACTATAATTGTCTTAGTGCTTAGCTGATTTTCATAGGCATACTCAAGAGCCTTAAAAATTCCTAATAGTTTCGCAGAATAAATACTTATTTCCGAAGGGAGCTTGTACATTTCACTTTGCTTTAACTGGGGGTCAAACCAGGCACAGCCTACCCCATCGCTGGATTTGGAACCATCCGTGAAGATGAGGTACAGAGATCTGGAAAACAATTGCGTATCTCCTAAAAATAAAATTGACAACCTGACAACCGAGGGATCTCATCCCAGAGTAGTCGCGGAGGAATGATACTTGGACGTGCGAGCGGTATGATTCATAATCTGATTCCAATGTTGGACAAATGTCGTTTTTATAAATATTTGAGATATTCGGAACTGATTCCAAATATGCTTCTATGATAGGAAGCGTACTTTTCTTTTCCCAGAATTCCTTTGTTAAAATGTTTATGTTCAAGAGGGCTAGTTTTTGATAAATTTCTCTGTTAGTTGAGTATAGTTTTAGAACGTGGTTATAGGTCAATTTCTAATTCAATTCTAAAATTCTAAGGTGGTTCGCAGCTTTCCATGTCCAGAACTTTTATAGGAATATCTGACAATAATCCCAGGCATCTCCGAAGGCACTTATTGTGGAAAACTCGGAGTCGGTTTAAATGAGAGTTTTTTGCATTTCCAAAAAATATTGATCGAAATCCATCAAACTACGAATACTTGACCTACAAAATAGCAGTGAAATTGCCGGATCGGCGCCCCATTTATTTGCTGAGAAACATCTCAGAACATTATATTTCACCTTTACATAATATTTGATCTATTTGTTCCTTCCATAACAATTTACGGTCCAGCATAATCCTAAAAATTTCACGGTTTTACATACAAGAAAGGTATTGTTACACAACTCCACTGAGTTACTGAGAGGGATCGACCTCTTCCTAGAGAAAGGGCAGAGATATGATTTTTGAGCTGAAATTGTAAAATTATTTGTTTCTGTCCGTATTAAAAATTCTCTCATGCCTTCACCTAGAGCAAGAACACCCGCTTCGATGGATTTATGCGTGGAATATAGACAAATATCATCCGCAATTTGGATCACCTTAATAGTAAGAGATTTATAAGAAGGTAAATCATAAACAAAGATTAGAAATAGTAATGGGCTCAGAATTCCTCCCTGAGGGAGACCCTGATAAGTCTTATAAGGTCCAAATGACTTTTCATTTATTTTGATAATTATTTATCTTGAAACTGTAATGTTTAAAATATTTTGAATAATGATATGTGGGAGGCCAATGTGAGACATTTTAAGGGCTAAGTTGGCAAAATCCACTTTATCCAACGCCGCCGAAATATCGAAAAATAACGCAATTAGTGACTTAGGGTTTGTAAAAGAATCATAAATGTTGCTAATTAAGTTCGCTTGAGCATGATGTACCGAGAGTCCTTTATGAAATTCGAATTGAGTAGGAGGAAGCAGTTCATTTCTTTCTAACCACGATAGCAATCTGTTTTTATCATTCTTTCGAATGTTTTTAGAACACAAGAAGTCAGAGCGATCGGGCGATACGATGAGGCGTTAAATACAAGGAGGACGTGAAAAAATGAATTTTCACAATGCTAGAAATTTTAATTGAGTCTAAAATTTCTAGCATTGTATAAATTCACATTTTTTTCACATCCTACAAGTATTTTTATAATTTAAACAATGTTTATAAATCCCAGGCCCTGAAGATGATCTTAATAAAGATCGAAACGTTGGCACGATAAAGAAAATTATTTTCTAAACCTACATCACACCAGACCGCATCTCACGATCTCCAAATAATGCCACAATAATCATTGTAATATCAGTCTTTACATGTCCGCTTCTGTGTTAGGTGGCCAAATATTACATTCGCAATAGAGTAAAGTTAAAACCGCAAAGGGGATGAATTAACAGAGAATTTCGAAGGGAAAAATGGACGAGAGAGGGCCATCCATTACCCTTATTGATTGATGTGGATTTTCAACGGGGCAGTTTAATTTGTTCGACGATATCGGCAGATCGGGCAGGAGGGAGTTCACGTCCCTTTGGCCTGGCATTTTGTATTCACATCAGACGAAACTTGCAAATCGGATCATAGAAACGCTGATTGAACGGCTTACTGGGATGAAGCCATTCGGGGACTTCAAAGTTGGAACGGGGCCGCACCGACTCCCTGGTTATAAGAATTATGTCCTCCGCTCAGCTGTCACCAGCCGTTCTCCATTTCCAGTACAACTTAGAAACTTTGGAGAAGTTGATGGTTTTAAAGATTTAACCATTGCCACTCTTAAATGTTAATGTTGAACTTTATTCTCAACGGAAGATTAAAATTTCATCGAAAAAATTAAAACTTTTTGTTGGGAAATTCAACATTTCCCTGCTGCCAAATACAACTCATTTCAAATACTTTATTGCGCAATATTATGTTAAATATAAAGACTGAAAAAAATTACTGTGGATTCTTAGGTCTAAATGAGTTTAAATTGATATAATATTCTAAGCATCAAACATAGTTTTAGCTGATTGAATTTAACAGTTGCATTGAATTAGTTATGAGAGTTCGTTGAATAGTTTGAACTGTCCAATCGTGCGGAAAACAAAAGCTGAACCTATAAAAACATTGATTTACAAAATTTACTTTATAAATAATAATATAATAAGGTCATCACTTCGAAATATTTTATTATTGAGAGTACTTATTCAGTGTAATATTTAGTCTGAACCATTTGTCCCTCCTACAGAATGTAATCTGGGTCCAAACTTTAATAATTCATTATCGGAAATTTGAGAAAAAAATCTAACCCGGTAAAGAATAAAACGTCGGATTACTAAAAGGAAACCAATGAATCCGGAATTTTCCTCGTCAACTTTTAATCACCAATTATTAAAGCAAAACCGGCAAAATATTGACTGGAGATGCCTATTTTTTGAACCGTCCTCTGATTATCGAAAATTAAATTTAAAAAGGAAAATAAATGGATGACTAGGAAAAAATATAATTTACACTGTGTAAATAATTTATGATAATTTCACCACGTACAACATAATATGATAATTTTCTTTAATTTAATAAACTTTGATCAATTTAATTATATTCTTGGGCATAAAAATATGCAGTAAACAAAAAAAAGTAAAAACTGAAAGATCAAGGATGAAGCCAGGAAAGTAAAAAAGGAACAAAATTATTTTCATTTTATTCCTAACCATATTTAATGTATTATTTCAAATTTCTTTAACAAAAGTGATGGTTTTATATATATTTAATTCAAAGTCATTATTACTATCAGGTATATCAATATGGTGATTAAGCGTTTGAGTTTTATTTTTAATTAATTTTGTGATTGAAGGTATGGGATATTCAATAAATATGGTTTCTTGAGTTACCGACACGACTAAGGAACATCAAAATTTAGTTAAAACTACTCAAATTCCGTTTTATCTCAACCAAGACCTTACAAAAAGTGGTCAATTCACCACTAACACATAAATGAATTAATATTTTAATGAAACTTTATTTTGGTAATAATAGGTGAAAACATTGTCCGATCATTTTTGCCATTGAGATTGTAGGAGCGGAGAGTATATATGTATACAAAATTAATATGAATTTTGTATGTTGGATCCTGCGAACTGCGACATCGTTATTGTATACAGAGTCATTTCCTGGCTGATCAGTTTGTCCAGGTAGTATGGGGTAAATGTTTATATAATTTTCACAACCATCGACACATCCCTAATTACTATGACCAACGAAAGCTTGTGACAAAATCCCACCAAAAAAAAAAAAAAATTGTGAGCAAGGGAAAAAAGAAGAAGATGAAAACATCTGCCATAACCTTGACAACAAGAAGACGAGCCCTCTAAAAGATGAAGCCATGAACTTTTAAAAACTAAGTAACTAACTATAACCCTTGTTCAAAGGCTCAAGTACAAAAGTCATATAAGCGACATACTACATAAAGCCAAGGTATTTTCTAACAACTAGTGAAGTTTTATGTAGCTAAACTGGGTAATAAACCCAAAGATGGCGTATTGTTTATGCATCACAACGGACAGACTCTCGTCATATGTAGAGTATGTCTAAAATCACTGCATTTGGAAATACAAAGCAAACTGTGATGTCTACGAAGTCTTGGGTGTCATAACATAGCAGGAGCAATTCGTACTTGTCCACAACCGCAATCGAACGTCCATCTCCCACCCTTCTACATTCATGCAGAAAAGTTTGGTTCCGAATGATCTAAGTGGTCAGACATGTTTGGAAGAAAGGGGACCCAGAGTTTTATGAAGGAGTCCTATACCCTTAAACCCCAGGGAATGATTCTAGCTATCTTTAAAGCTGAGGTCCATGCAATCAAACTTTTTGAATAGTAGATAAAGAAAAAAATTATCTACAGATCTACGGACTTTCGGACCGTCAGGAAATGTTTGAATTACGGTTATACGAAACACAACGAGGTTATCTTGATCTAGCAGTCTCCTGGACTTCAAGGTATAGAAGAAACGAACGGTCGTACCAATGAGCATAAAAAGGGTCAGCCCACCGATGAGTACATCAGAGAGTGTGCTAAAGTTCGAGCAGGAGACAGAAAAATTAAGTACCCGACGAAAGCAAAGGTGTAAAATAAGCTAAGAAATTTATTCATTATAAAGGAAGGTTAAAGTCCTCCGCTCTCTTAGAAGAAAATTTCAGGAAAATTATTACCCTTATACCATTATTTTTTATTATTATTAGTTTTTTCCTTTTTAGACTTACGCTAACATTTATGCTTTCTGTTTACAGATATCTCATTTTGTATGAGGAACTTTTTATATAGATAACTATTTTTAGTTAGAACTATAGTTTTTAGTTAGAAAGTTTGAGCAGGAGACAGAAAAGTTTTTTCCTTTTTAGACTTAGGCTAACATTTATACTTCTGTTTACAGATATCTCATTTTGTATAAGGAACTTTTTATATAGATAACTATATTTTTAGTTTTGAATATAACTATTAATAATTCGTAATATGAAATATTTTTCTTTTTCTTAATCGTTTTAATAAACGACTTTTGGTGAAATTTTTTTTTTCATTTATTGGAGAGTTCACCTTCAAAAACCGTGATCGGCCTGTTTTGGGTAATTTAATAAATATACATCTTAATTATTAAAAATTTAATAATAATTAAGTGAATGTAAGTGTGCTTCGAATTCCATAGAGAATTGGAACGTTTAAATCATACAAAAAAGAACATTGGTAACAAAAACAAAGTCATCATTTTTAACAACAGCAATAATATATTATAATTAATAAATAATGTAACTATTGTTACAAGCGTTAAGAATAACTTTTTAAATATAACTACTACTTCAAAACCGGCTATCATATCAATATTGAGACAGTGATAACATGTGTTTCAAGAATACTAAAATGGGCTAAAGATAAAAAATTGCACCACGAGGTTCAAATAAAAAATAACAAACTATCTCGTAGGTTTCTCGTACGCAAGTCATTTCTTTTGTACTATAAAATTTTTGCTTAAAATAAATTACAGAATTTACTAAAAAATATTGCATAGATAATATATTAGGCAATAGCGTTTTCCATAGAACGTTCAAACTGTAAAAGCTAAGCAGTTCATGATTTTGAAAGCACAAATGTTATTTAAAATTTATTAAACCGATTTCTTGTATTTTTAAGATTAAAACTAATCACGAATAGAACATTTGTCTGTATCGTTCTTTGTTTTTTAAAGCGTGTTTTCTTTTATAGGCAGACCACACCTTTCACTCGACCGTGGGAGAAAATAAAAAATACTCTTTGATATAAAAAAAAAAGAAGAAAATGTGACCAATGTAAACCATCAGGTTTTCTTGTTTGTTTTTTCTGCTAGCATTGCGACTTTATGCTAATAATGGCTCAGTTTGTGATTCGTATTTTTAAACTGTTGTTTTCGATTTTCAAGGATATTGATTTAGAACATGTTGGGAGGGACTAAATTGGATTAAATATTAATATTATTTGTTAAGTTATTCAAGCCTTTTTATCTAAGGTCTTGTTTGAAACGAGAAACTAGTGTAATCCACGACCTTCAGCTCAATACGCCTGTTAATATTATTTTATTTTCTTATCTGTTATATAATCACGTTCTATATTTGTAATTAAACGAACTTCCGGTTTATATATAATCATAGCTGACTTTGTTTTATCATTGGGTTTCTCTTAAATATTTTGTTTCTCAAGATTAAAAACCAACCTAAACTATTTTTTTTTTTTAACAAGTGTAGATAGTTGTTTCACCTTAAGTCTTTGAAGCCTTCTGGCGACTGCGACCACCTTCATGCCATGGTTGGCTAAAGTGATGGCGATTGCGTGCCCGATTCCAGAGCTGGCTCCTGTCACGACTGCAACTTTGTCTTCCCAACGTTCCATAATTGACTGCCTGCGGGACCAGCATGATCCTGCCCCACTTGAACCCCTCTACGCTAATTTCGAGTAGAGCGCGCACTTACCATTCTAGTCGTTTCGATGAATCATACGATAATTGGAAGAATTGGAAGAAGACACCACAACGACCACTGTTACTTTTGTCTCGTTTTCTTTTTCCATCAAATTAAAGTTATAATTTTGTAATGTAAATATTGACAGTAATCAATCTCTAACAGATATAATTAATAAACCTTAAATTGACAGAGTTGATAGTTTAAAGTTTTATTTATAGTCAGAGATTTGGTCGACTTTGATCATTCTACCACCCAAGACGAAGGTGAGAAAATAACAATTGAAAGGAAAAAATGAAGCGGAAAATAACGAAGGAAAGAGCGAGGTGTGAAGTAGAAAATAAATGTAGGTAAATAATAATAAATAAAATAAAATTTGAAAAATGGCAAAAAGGAGGGAAAATTCAAAATGTGGGGTTGGGATGGGAGGTTAGTGTCCGAGTGGACCGAGGTCTCGATAGCTCAAGTGGTAGAGCAGCGGCGTATCAAGCCGAAGATCGTGGGTTCGAATCCCGCTCGTGCCATTGACTTTTTTATCTCTACCAAAAAACCTTAATTAATTGAAATATATTAATTGGTCAAGCGGACTACGAAAACTAGTGAATGTAAAAAATAAAGGAGTTAGTCAAAGAGTGAACATTAAAATGTCAGAGAGCGAAAGGAAAAGGGAAAAAGAAAAACCGAATATAACAAAGTGGAGAACGGATGAAGGAAAGAGGAATAAATATACTAAGAGAGTGAGTGAGGTTAAGAGAGAGGGATTGAGGGGGTGAGAAAGAAGGAGATAGTAAGAATAAAATAAAATGAAAAATAATGGGACAGAGATGAAGTTTAAAATGAAATGAAATAGAAAAAACAAGAAGAGTACGAGAGGAGAGAAGAGGAAGAGAGTGAGAAAGAGAAAACAACAATGAGAGAGTGAAAGAAAAAGAGTGAGAGAGAGGGAGGGAGAGAGAGAGAGAGAGGAAGTATAGAATAGAAAACAGAATTTCGAAATCTCACATACATTTAACTAAGAATCATTTATAAGCTTTATTTTCTATAAGATTGTTTACCGTTCGAAGAATGTTTATTGTTAGTGCAGTTTTGCTATTGATTTGTGATGGTTAACTAATTTTGTGTTTTCATGACAGTAGTAAACGCAGAGTGGTAACTACAACCGTTTCATTTTAATAAATGTTGTCTGCCTTTGACGTTTGATATGTTGGTTTAATTTGCCTTTTACGGATCGAGACTGATCCAGAAGAGTGAGGAAATGCTGTTTCTGGTCTTACGCGGCATTGAATAATGGCCTAACTGTTTGTTACATTACATTTGGCTGTGTACGAAGTATGCGAGTAATATTACATAGATAATTAATTATACAGGCCGCCTGATATCCGACTCGGCCAAAAGGTTTAATTTCAGGCGAACCGGGTGGCAATTATTATTATTATCAAAGCGGCGAGATTCGCCCACCGTCTTAACCTAGACGTTCTCAACGACAAAGGCTTTGAGTTGTTTCTAACTTTTCAGGCTAATTTAACCCATTGATATTGATGTGCGTTGTACCGGCATAAAGTTATATTAATAAACTTTCTAATCTAATTCATCACTTCCACACGGTTAAATTTGATGCCCTAATGATTTTGATAACTGCGGTAATATATCGTGAATATATTTTTCTGATCTAGAAATTCCATCCGTCAAAACTACAAAATCATTATCTTTAAACAAATCCCAACATATTACTAAGTTAATAAAAATTTATCCTTCTATAAACAAATGAAATTTCATTATTAGTTAATCATTTTATAGAGATTGAGTGAGATAAAAAGTTTACACTCCGCACAATTCCTATCTCTAAATATTGTACGCTTAAGTTTGATGGATTATTCTTTTGTACGAATATCAACAATTTTTAATTCTCTTCCAAACGGAAATGTTTATTTACCTCAGTAGCATTTCGTTACTTAGTTATAATACAGGAATAATTTCATTTTACGAGTTTAAATTCAGTCGGAAGGGTGCCCAACACCCAGAAACTTTAATAAAGTCTGGGCCGATGGCAGTGTTAGTGAGAGCACGGTTCAGAGATGGCTTAAAAAATTTCGGGAGGGTGACTTTTGCCGATTTCTCCCCTACGCGACGATGTTCTGCAAGCTATGGCCAAAGAAACGAAAAACTGTTCGAGAACTTGGAGAGAATCTTTCAGTTAACAAAACGACCGACGCTGACCTCCTTATAGCAATTGGAATGGTTAAAAAGCTTCCTCTTGCATTAAACTACTGCTAAAAAATTCATCGTCATGAAATTTCCTCAAATTTTTTTTTGCCGAAACAGAAACGAACCTTTCTGGACAGAATTGTTATTTGTGATAAAATGTTGATTCTCTACGATAACAACAGAATTTCTGTACAGTGGCTCGGCAAAGGAGAAGCAGCACTATATGGTCAAAAGCCACCAACTCATCAAAAAAGTCAGTGACTCTCTGGTGGGCTTCATTTAGCCTGATTACTATAGCTTTTTAAATCTTGGCGAAACAATCAGTGCCAAAATCTATTGCTCTCGAACTGAAGCAATGAACCGGAAATTGGCATCGTCACACATGTGCCAAGAAGAAAATTATCTTGGTGTTGAGGTTCTTCTGAACCTTCTTATTCTCCATACCTCTCGCCCACCGACTATGATTTTTTCACACACCTGGACGTTTACAACATTTATTGACCAAATGTCGCTAGAAAATTCACTCGTGGAATTAGTTTTAAAAAAAAAGTATAGTACGTATTATATATATTATAAATAATTAAATTTATTCGACAGTGTGTATATGTGAATATGTTTGTTTGTTGTTATATGTCATATATAATAGGTTGTTTGTGTGAGTGAAGTATGAGAACCGATGGCAGTTTATCGAGCCATCCCATTAGCCCTAGAGCTCTACAGGCATTGTCGGTAGCTTTCTTAAAGTTCACAAAATATCTTCAGAGTGGTATAGAACATTGATGTGTGGTGATTAGTGACCGTTAGTCGATGGTCATTCGGAAATCGTGAGATGCGGTCTGGTGTGATGAAGATTTCAGAAAAACTTTTTTTTATCGTGCCAACGTTTCGATCTTTATTGAGCCAACCCAATACAGTTCGAAACGTTGGCACGATAAAAGAAAATGTTTTTCTGAAACCTACGTCACACCACACCGCATCTCACCATCTCCGAATAAGCATAGAACATTTATTTGTAAACGAATAAAGTTGAAAGATCTAGCACGTTAAAATGGCTCCAACTTTATAGATTAATTTCATTCACTAATTTCGTGGCCCGCTTGACCAATTAATGTCAAAAGGAAGGAAAACTCATAAGGTGGGGTTGAGATGGGGAATTGATGTCCGAGCGGATCGAGGTCACGATAGCTCAAGTGGTAGAACAGCGGCGTATCTAGCCGAAGGTCGCAGGTTCGAATCCCTCTCGTGCCATTAACCTTTTTTCATCTCAACTAAAAACCTTAATTAATTTTTAGATTAAATCGGAATAATTTAAAAAAGTATTAATAAATGGTAAAACGTAAATAAAAACTGTTTATGTAAGGTATTGGTTGAAATGAAAAAGATAGTGTCACGAGCGGGATTCGAACCCACGACCTTCGGCTATGTACGCCGCTGCTCTACCACTTGAGCTATCGTGACTTTGATCCACTCGGACACCAACTTCCCATCTCAACCTACCTTTCGAATTTTCCCTCATTTTTGCCATTTTTCAAATGTCGTGGGTTCGAATCCCGCTCGTGACACTAACTTTTTCATTTTAACCAATACCTTACTAAAGATTAATTAATTGAAAAAAGTCATTTGGTCAGTCGGACCACGAAATATAATGGGACTAAATAAATACTTCAATTTTGTTCGTTTTATCGTCAGGCGTTTATGCGCAATATGTGGGTGATAGAAGATAAAACGCCTGAATGCTAGATGCAAGCTGACGTAAGCATTAAAAATCGCTTCACCAACACAATTGAGTCACTTTCCGTTAGATGGAACTAGAAGAAAGAGATGCAGAGTATTCATGCTTTTACATGAAATTGTCATAATTATCATAACATGATATTATTGACAATGCAAAAAAAATCTGTACTTCTTTAGAATAAAATATACATCGCAACTTCCATTAGCAAAGTTAACACATGTACAGGGTGACTATCAATTTTACACCAACCACTTTCCTCGAATGAAAAAGTTTGTAAAAAAGCCTGAATTGTAACTCTCATACTTTTATTAAAGACCTAAATTAACAATCTAAACATTTTTTATGTTAGTAATAAAAAATTGAACATCAACAGTATTTCAAATGGAATCTATCGTGAGTTGATAAGTTTTCAAACACATATTATAAAAATGACACCAAAACCATATGTTCACTAGCTGGATTAAAATATTACATAAGGAACATATGTACTTGATATATTTATGATTGGTAAATTATAATTAGACACAGTTTCTGTGCTGAATTTCAAATTGTGTATCGAGAAAAGATATATTTTTTGTATAAACTAAATTTACATTTTTTTCTTAAGTCGAGTTAATTTAGCGTAAAATTTCATACAATTGCCTTTACCAATTTTTTAGCCTTTTGTAATACATTACTGCCTAATCTTGGAGTGTACATCGACAAACGAACGACTTAGAATCTGCAAACAAGAAGGAAAAACAAACTTTTAATTTAGAAGACAATAACAAAACTTCTGAGTGTGCACGATTGTGAAGTCTGGGCTGGACCATTCCATATTTCCAACGACTCAAATCTATTCAGCCCAAACTTCACTGTCAAATCCGAACTGTCCTTTTTATTTGTATAATTGCATTATTCATAAGACCTTCGCATTCCGGTTTGTATTGAGTTTAAAATACATCCGTTGAGTTTTTCAAAAATTTGATTTTGTCGCTCTTGTATTTGGAAGGAATGTTTATTTAGTCATTATTGTTCCACGCT